TGCTTATATACCGTTGACCAAAAGACTTGATGGCAATCATTGGATTAGATGTGAAATCAACGGTCAGGATTTACTTAAGAAGCAAACCAAAATGACAGTGTATAGCTCAAACTCACATGGCATTTTTTTGTGTTTCATATTTAATAGTAACATATAATATCAAATTTCTCACCCCCAGTGACTGATACCTACCAATATGGATCGATAAAACCTTATCGATCATTCGTCTAGAACACTAAGTGACTGATACACGTTTATCAATCATTTATCGTCTTCAACTTTAGGACGACTTATCAATTGATACAACCGATAAGTCATCCCAAAATTCATCACAGACCAAATCTCTCCATTTTCACCATCCCCATTCACAAATCACAAATTCATTAAAATAACCATCAATATCAACCCATATAACTTAAAATACACTTATTGACATGTTTCGTACAAATAAATTTAGCATATACACAAATCAATAATCAAATTTGTTCAACTTCTAAATTGAATGTATACACAAATCAATGATATTTATTCAACTTCCAAATAACATTCCTCGTCTCAAGCTTCTAATAAAAACCAAGTTGTCAACCAAAAACCAGATTATCATCTCCTTGTTAGAAGAAATGCAAAGATGTGATATTTTGGTAAAGATCGGAGCAATGGAGAAATTTTTAATTTTTTAATTTTTATTTTGAGGAAAAGAGTAAAAAGGATTGGTTTAAGGGTTTAAAGAAAAAGGGTATGTTGGTCCTTCAAAATTGTTGAAAATTGGATTAGTCCAATTTGTGAAACTTTTCAGAATTGATTTGTTTTCAATTGGGATGCTAAATTTGGGCCTTTAATATAATTTCCCTTAAAAAATACTCCCAATCTGAGGCTAAAATGGTTTTCACAAATAAACAAAAAAAAAAAAAAGTCCATTTAATTTTCATGCTCTCCCTAAAGAGTTGTCGGTGCTAAAAAATTATAGCACTGGTCCCTTTATGGAATTCCGTGTCTAACTAGTAAAAGCAAATTTTCTACAAGCTAACATTTACAGAGGTAGTAACACGTTGAAAGTGAATTTTGAATGTAATGTTTTTAAGCCCAACCCAAGTCTTGACCCGGTCAAGGGGTCGGGTCTCGGTTTGATTGGTCCGATCGATTGAACCGGTTGGTCCAACCAATGATGTCAACATATTTAACATGTTTAAAATTTAGCAAACACATCCCTGAGAAATTACAATTAATTCCTATAAGTTTGAAATCCAACAAACACTCCGTGCAATCTAACCAAATGCAAAACATATGAGTTTTTTATTGCACATCAAAATTGAAGAAAAGCAAAAGTGATTCTTGTGGAATTTTTCTCTTATTTTTCAAGTTTTAGATATACAGATAATTTTTTGTCAATTTATTACATGTCTCAAAGTTTCACAATTTACTTCAGCTTTTAACTTCAGATTTCATATCTTATTTTAATAAATAAATAACTTTAAATCACCAAATTTCAACTCAATATTTAAAACCATAAATTAAAAAGAAAAGTTTTAATATATTTTTTTTCTCTTAACTTGTGCATAATAATACTATATATGTTAAAATGGTAATAATAATAAATAAAATTTTACTTTTAAAAATTTTATTTCGATCTTCAAACTAAAATACAACATTTAGATTTATTATTTTCAAATGATAAACGTTAAGAAAATTATAAGCATAATTTTCCCATTACCCTTTCACTACTTCTCCTACCTCTGCTTTAACTATGGTTCACCAAAGACCATGTTTACCAACCCACCAAGTCAACTCGCTTCCCTTCTCAAAAATCCATCTTCGTTTCACCTGAAAATATTCCGTTTGCTTCTCTTCTTTGCATCAAAATCCAATTTTTATTCAACCAAAGATAAATCTCCACACTTGGCTACCAAAGTTTGCAAAATTTTATCTTATCTTCAATGGCAAAAAACTTGGAACCCACACACTTGATTCCCAAGCCAAGACCATACCGCGTCTTCAAAATCATTGAGACCCACAAGAATTCATACTCAGTTTTGCATTTGATTTTCTTCAATTTTGCTTTATATTTCCAAATGAATTGCACATCAAAATTGAAGAAAAGCAAAAATGATTTGAAATTATGAAGATGAAGAAAAGCAAAAGTGCAGATTTTCAAAGAAGAAATGAAAGAATCCAAGATTTGAAGATGAAGAATAATGATTTGGGAAGTTAGGGATTTTAATTTTGTGACCCAGGTTTGGCACTGAACCGGCTGAACCGGCAGGTCACTATAGTACCACCAATTCAATCGCAGTCCAAACTGAGTTAAATGTAAAAGCAGGTTTCAGGGGGTGCCCAGCCTAATGAAGACTTCTCAGTTCGACCGGTCAAACCAGCCAAGCCAGACCCGGTTTTAAAACATTGCTTGAATGTGAAGTTTGCTTAGCAAGGAGTAATCTGTAATGTATGACTTAAAATTTGTTAAATCCAAGTGCTCTGCCAACGCATATTTATCTTGCCAAGATATAAAGAGACAGCTTATATACAAAAAGCAGAAATATGATTTTAGACGACCACTAATTCCCAATTAAACACATATTAGAATAAGCGAAAAAATGGCTGACGATCTTGTTAACTTATATGACCTAAATACCATAGCGAATCTAAGCCAACCCAAGGAGATAATACAGCCAATTTTCTCATTATTAGCATTAGCAAAGAATTAACAACCTTTTCCATCCCAAGTCACCTGAAAACAAAGAGAAAAGCAAGTTTAATTAAATATCAACAGAAAAACAGAGAAAACTATCTGCATTCACAGGTTGAAAAAATAAATAATACTTACTATAAGTGAGAAGTAGATCTCTTTTCCACCAACGATACTATAACAGTCACGTCATCGAGCTTGCCACTGTTGTATCCAACATATCCAGCTGCTTGAGCTGCATTAGCAAATGGACTCCTTGCAGATTCAGACTGACCAACTTCTTGAGCTCTCATGGCCAAGGATTCTGCTATTTCCTGAAAAATACATTCAAATATGATGACAAACTAATAGTGCAATGACTATAAGAACTGAAGTGACAATTATTCTTCAACCAAGCTTAACTGATCATTATCTCCCGTAAGAGATTAATTTATGCATATTTCGATTTTTGGGTAGTTGACAGAGAAGATTGAGCATACTAAGTTACTCTTGGAATAAAAATGTATTGAAGCTGCACATGTCACAATTTTAAAACTTCCTAAAATTTTCTTAAGACCATTTTAATTACCGTCTGGGAGAAACTTTGGAAAGATTAAATTACATAGAGTTGGGACTAAGCACCTGAGCTTTAAAACCATCTTGCAGAGACCTGGAGACAATAAGTGCTATTTCTTGCTCAAATAGATTGTCAAAAAGCCCATCACTACCAGTCACGACTACATCACCCTCAATCAAATCAATTTTGTGCACCTGAAAAAGCAAACAAAAAAAGGTTTTTTGTATTATTAAAACTCTCTTACACACACAAAGATGCACACATAAATTTTGAACCCTTGGTGTTGTGCTTCATATCATTCCAATTATATTGGATGTCCCCAAAGAGACTGATCTTGTCCTTTGTAATGTAAAACCAAAAATCCAACAAAATATGAAGAGTTGATTAATTAATTAGCATGGCAGTGCTCCTATAACTTCTCTGGGAGAAGGGAGAAGACAATTATAACATATTTTAACTTACGAAAGTTCTGATTCAAAAACAATATCAATGCATCTTACCTCAACAAGTTTTGAGGGATCATCACCTCTCTCAATCAGTAACGGAAAGTTAAACTCATGAACCATCGGAAAAGACCTCTTAAAGACAGTACCATGTCTTATAATTACAAATCCTGAGTCACCAATATTAGCCACATGGAAAGCCTGTGAACAAATATATTAGTCTAAGGCAAGAGTCTGAGCACTATATTCAAATCCAGTGTTTTAAAAATATTCAATTATTAAATTGTTTAATTTTTGGAAAAAAATCTAGAGCCATGTCATAATATAAGTTTGATTTTAGCAATCAACATTTAATTTGACACAATTGATTCCTGTGTAACTGTTTATTGTATTTGATCTATCCAATATTCTCACCTCAAGGTTATAGAAGTCTATGTATTTGCTAAATAATAACATGTTTAAATCATGTTGTTTCTAAACCTTATTAGTTACATGACACAGTATGTTTATAATTATTTGTGTAAACAAATGATAGTGAATATTATTTATAAAGCATGACAAGATGTTATCTGTTTTTATTCTCTCGTACTCTTTGAGAAATATTTGTAGGTAATCTATTTATAAACCATTCGCAACAGAAAAGGTTATAAGAGAATATGTTGACCAAAGCCTTATTATACATTTTAAGCCATTCCTTTCCCTCTCTAGAAATGCCTGAAGCCTTCAAAATTCTAAATTAAACAACCCTTTTTCCTCTTTCTTTACTTATGAAGTGGAGTGGGGATCTGATAGAACCCCAGGACAACCACTCAACCACGCAACACAGTAAGCCAAAAAGACACAGCCAAACTCAAGAATTATATCCAATGCAAAACTGGGTTGATTCTATTTGATATTGATTAAGAAATAAAGGACAGTTTACAGAGCAGTGCTCCACTACAATGAAATGAAAATGAGTAATAGATGGTCCCAACAGTTCGAGGAGTTGGGGACCTCCTTGATTCACTATTGATAATAATCTGCCTTTTTAACAAATGGCTCTCCCTTTTTATACATAAATCACCTACTAGAATTATTCCCTTCTAACTAATTGGTTCTTCACATGGCACATGCCTCAAGCCATCCTTCACTAACGCATGCCTCTTCAATTCAGTTAATGGCCTTTTACCCTTATGCCCTCTGTGTTGGTAAACCTTCTTGATGGGAGGTCTATAAATCCCCCCTTGTCCCCAAGGTGGAAGTGAGGGAATTGAAGCTTGATGATATCTGTCAGCTCCCAGGTGGCTTCAAATGGGGCTAAGTCTTTCCACTTAATGAGGACTTCCTGAGAGCCATTCACCAATGTGCGGACTGCCAAAACAGATTCCGGTTGTACCTACAACTCCATGTCCCCGGTGAGACATGAGGGTAGAGGTTGGATGGGAACCGAGCTGTGCAACTTGTGCTTCAGCTGGGATACGTGAAAGACGGGATGTTTTTTGGCTGTTGGAGGCAGTGCCGATTTGTATGCAACCTGTCCAGTTTAGAAAAGACTACAGCACCTGCCAACTCATCTAGCAGCTCATCAATGGAAGGTATAGGAAATTTGTCGAGTATGGTTATGTTGTTAAGGGCATGGTAATCAACACAAAAACGCCAGCTGTTGTCTTTCTTCTTAACCAACAACAGCGGACTTGCAAAAGGACTAGTACTCGGTTGGATTATTCCCGACACCATCATCTCTCCCACCAACCTTTCTATCTCATTCTTTTGGGCATGGGAGTATTTGTAAGGACGTATGTTAGGGGGTTTGGATTGATTTTGGAGAGTTATGGCATGGTTAGTTGGTCTCTTGGGGGGTAAACAGTGGTGTTGTTCAAACAAATGGTGGAACTCTTTAAGTAGGGTAGCAACTCCAGGTTCCATAGGTTCAATCTTCTCCTCTCCTTTCCTTTCGATAGAGCAAAATTCTACCAAATACCCTGCTCCCTCACTCTGCAGTGTCTTGAGCATTGCTTTAAGAGAGACTACAGTCTTAACTAAGGAGGGATCACCTTACAACACAATTTTCTTCTCGTTACTGTCGAACGCCATGGTCAGGTTTTTCCAGTTAGAGCACACACCCCCCAACGTGCTCAACCAAGATATCCCCAACACCACATCAGCTCCTCCTAAATCAAAGGGGAAAATCTTATGTAAACTCAACCTCCTGAATCCGTATACTCAAATTTTTGCAAATCCCTTCTCCTCTGACTATGAAACCATTCCCTATCATCACTCCAAATTGTTTTCCCTTCTCAATGTTCAGGCCTAGCTTCCGCACTAATTCATTTTAAGATGAAATTGTGGGATGCCCCACTATCCACCAACACAATTACTATCTCATCTCCAATCGACCCCCTGAGCTTCAGAGTTTTGTCCATCGTCATCCCTACAATAGAGTTCATCAACAAAGCCAAGGGGTTACCTGCCATGTTGACGTCATCGTCAGCTTCAGAGTTAGGTTCTTCCTTTTCCGGTGCCTCATCATCGGTGACTAACAAAATCTACAGTGACCTCGCTTTACACCGATGAGTGGGATTGTACTTTTCGTCACATCTAAAACACGGCCCACGCTCCTTCTTGCTCTAAATGAATCTCGTCGTCAGTCATACGCCGAAATCCCTCTCTGCGAAATCCTGGCATGGTTGTATTAGTGGTTCTCTCTCGTCGTTCACCTATTCTGTTTGAAGTGAAGGATGAATTGTGTGAAAAAGGGTTGGAGCTCCATGCGTTTGTGCACCATGTTTCCGGGTTGGGAGTGACCCGATTATAGTGCTCCATTTTATTAGTATGGGTTCTAAATGGTTTGGGCCTACTTTTTTCCAAGACCCAATTCTTCTCCTCTACTCTATGGGCTTGTTTAATGAGTGAAAAAAGTGTGGTTGGTTGGGCCAAACGCAATTCGGCCCGAATCTCTTCTTTTAGTCCATTGAGAAAAATACCCATCAACAATTCTTCCCCTACCTCGCGCAAGGGAGCAGAATGTTCTTCAAAATTTTTCCTAAACTCTGTTACTATTCCAGTTTGCTTTAATGCTACTAGTGCTTCATATGCCGAGCCTTTGAAGGATGGACAAAATCTTGCCACCACAGCAGCCTTAAAGGCTTCCCATGAACTGATTGGTGCCCTTGATTCAACCCACTAATACCAATTCAGTGCACGCCCCTCCATACAAACCGCAGCAGCTTCCACTTTTTCTCCCTCTGCATAACGATTGACTGAGAAATAGCAATCTGCTCTGAAGGTCCATCCGTAGGGATCCTCCCCATTAAACACTGGTAACTCTAATTTTTTACTCTTCCTCTCCTCCTTAGAGTTCTCGGTTTCTTTACTCCGATCAATTCCTCCATTGTCACCGCTATTTGAGCTCTCCCCAAGATTTGTTTTGCCCCGATCGCGACTAGTATTGGCCTCCTTCTCCTCCTTCAACCTCATCTATTCCCGCAGCTCAAAGAGATATCCCTTGATGCTTCCTAACTCTTCCTTCATCCCTCCTAGCTCCTTCTCCATATTACCCATTTCCTTCTCCAATCCCTCAACCTTCTGTTTCATTCTCGATTTAGTCATTACCCACACAAGGCTCTGATACCAATTGATAGAACCCCAGGACAACCACTCAACCACGTAACACAGAAAGCCAAAAAGACATAGCCAAACTCAAGAATTATATCCAATGCAAAACTGGGTTGATTCTATTTGATATTGATTAAGAAATAAAGGACAGTTTACAGAGCAGTGCTCCACTACAATGAAATGAAAATGAGTAACAGATAGTCCCAACAGTTCAAGGAGCTGGGGATCTCCTTGATTCACTATTGATAATAATCTGCCTTTTTAACAAATGGCTCTCCCTTTTTATACATAAATCAACCAACAGAATTATTCCCTTCTAATTAATTGGTTCTTCACACGCCACATGCCTCAAGCCATCGTCCACTAACGCATGCCTCTTCAATTCAGTTAATGGCCTTTTACCCTTGTGCCCTCTATGTTGGTAAACCTTCTTGATGGGGGGTCTATCAGGATCCATTGGATTACATCAAAATAGGGTATTTGTTTCTTGACATTAAACCAAATGTTATTATCATTTCATCAAAAAATTAATTAATTATTTTATTATTATTATACAGATTCTTTCTTTGTTTTGGTGTAATTTTTTCCTTCAACTTTTGAGGAATAGATCACCATTCTTAAGGGTGCATTTCTGTTTCCCAATTTTAGGTTTAGGCCACTATAAATAATGTCTTATTTTGTTTACAGTTACAGACATTGATATTGGATAATTATTGAAAGAAATGAAAATTATCCCTCGACATATTTGTTGTCTCCCTTTCTAATTCTTTATATCTGTTTCTCCTCTCTTCTCTCCCTTTCCAACCATTTTTCTTAATCCTACACCAATTAAGTTTATACAAGGAAATAAAATTAGAATAAGATTTCTCGCAATAAATAATATAAACTTGCTTTAACAATGTAGAGAAGACCAAAAGCATTCTAGTTTTACCAATAAAATACCTGACCGTCAAAGTAAGCGACCAAAACTGTAGTAGATCCAGGAGATCGTGTTTCCGCAGCACTTCTGGTAAGAACTTCAACTGGATCAGTTATTGAAGTGTTTTGGATTTCTGATACAATCTTTTCACAATTTTCCATGAGCTCTTGAGCATACAACCCAGCTTTGATTCCTGAAGAACAACGAGCACTTATCACTTAAGTTGCTTAAACATAAAATAATTTTTCTGTAGGCTTCTAAGTCCACATACACACAGCATGTGTGTTAAGAGCATATGAATCAATTGAGAGCGTGTTAAGAGTATTACTAGTTGACCTTAAATAGGCTTGCTAGAATATTTTACGTTAGGATATTAATGAGTACTATTGTGTATAATTATATTTATGGGTGATGAATAACTGACACATGATCAAACACTAATTACAAGAAATAGTTGCTTTTATTGTAGGGTATCACTAGTCATATAAACTATAAACGCATAATGTGGTACATTCTTATACAGTGATAATATATCAAGATTACATAAATTGAAAAGGAGAAAATAAATTGAGATGAAGTTTATAATTATAGAAAAATGATATAAAATTTCTTAATTGGAAACTTCAAATGAATTTCCTGTTGTTATAATTTCAGTCTTCAAGTTTGACTATTATAAGAGTTTTACAAAATAGAAAGAGGAAGTTAGCAAACAAGAAAAAGTCATAGAATATGTTTCCTATTTTGTGAGTTAAAATTGAGAAAAATTACAAGGAATATACTATTAATTTTTATTGTATGGAAAAACTGGAGAAGAGAAAAATGAGAAAGAAGAATAAAATTTCTGAATTATAAGCTGGACTTTTATTCCTTCATGAAATGATATTTCTTTTATTCATTTAAGGTAATAAATCAATCTTATTTGTAAGTTTTGAAATTCAACTTATGTCAACTTTGATATATATCTAAAAATAAAATTAATACATGAAAAATTCCATGTAATTAACTAAATCATGTCACTGTTAACTGAAACGTGTATGTGTGTTTTGGGGACGGGGGTTTGGGTTGGGGTTGAGGTTGGGCATTTTTTGAGAAAAACATTATCACTTTTACATGTTTTAAGTTAATTCTTAATATATCTCAGGTAACCACTCCACCCCAGGCCTAAGAGTGGTTCTGCCAATGATATATAACTAAACAACAGTCCATTTCTTTCTTCTGTTTCTGCTCTCACTTATTCCTTTAGTTGATTTAATTAGGTTTCCATAATAAAAATTGAAAAACAAGAAAAGAATATAAATTAACTGTTATTTCTAAAATTTTCATGCAAACAAAATTGGCATCATTGTAAAGGGCCAGATAAAAGAAGAATAATTACCAATACAGATTTACTTTATTTCCAGCCACTGTCTAGGACTATATATCAAATGACTTATTCTGATTCCACATTCTGAATGAAATAGGATATTGGAAGATACCTTTAAATGACCACTGACCAACTCCATCGGCAATGCCTAGCCAGTTCTGGCAAGCTACAAAATAAGCATCGCGCCCACCTGTCAATGCCTGGAAATTATTAATATTTGAATTATTTACCCTTACCAACTCCAAAGCTTAACAAGTAATTTTAACAACTGAAATCAATTTAATCTTGCCACCAACCTATTTTCAATCAGAATTCTAAAGAGAAAATTCTCTAAACATTATCTGAAAACTAATCATTAATTTTTGCAAATTGAATAAGTTGGCTTTGACAAATCATTTTGCATTACCTTATTAGGATGTTGCAATAAAGCAGCACCAGAAGATAAATAAAGATCAGCTGTTCGCATTTCCTTCCTGTTTGAAAATAAGCAAACGAACATAAGAATTAGAAGACAGATAAGTTTTAATTCAAGTTTAATACGATAAATAATTTTGTTGGTCTTCTATATTATACCCTAGCATTTCCAAGAAGGCTAAAAGCTGGTTACTTTGAGAGTTCATCCTTTAAGTTATCATTATGAAGAATAATACTACACATACAAACTTTATATACAAACTTAGACACACAAACAAACATAGCACAAAATGAGTGAAAGAGTAGATAACAAAAGCCATCTCCATTGATGTTGAATAATGAAATGAAAGATGTGGCTACAAAAGAGTAATTTCACATATAACGAAAGGTGTTTTTAATTACACTGAACGCATTCTCAAGACTTCAGACAAAATCGAATTTCCAATATTCTGTATTCATTCTTTGAAAGCAAAAACATAAATAACATTATCAATGACCCCTTAATTTCTTATTTTCAATTTTTGCATGTATTTTGTCACAACAGAAAGTGAAAATAGAACTGAAGAGCTCCTAATATATCTTGGAGGGGAAAGAATAGAAGAAAATAGCTCACCTCTTTGAAGTAGGTTCAACTGATTGGAATTCCACAGCATCGGAAATTGACACCTCTGTAGTATTAACACTTGGGGCATCGTCCTCAGTTATTTTTTCTTCCTAATTGAGAAATGAAAATGGTCATCTAACAAATACTGTATATTGGTAATTTTAGAATAAGAAAAGAAGTGCTCTGACTTAAGCCATAGAAAAGCTGACATACCAGATGAACAAACTTTTAGAATTGGTAATATCTTGCAGTTCTAAATGAAACAACCATAGATTCAGAAAGTACAAAAGAAAAAAAAAATGACAATAATAATTACTAAGCACTAAATATGCAACCATTAAAATCAAGAGAAGGAAAGATAAAAACATGTAGGTACAGCACTAAATCAATCCAGCGTGGAGCAACTGAAGATTGGCATCAACCTTTTTGCATAGAAAGAGATAAGAGTCAATAACTAAACAGGGTTGGCCTATCATCTAGAAATCCTGAAAGAAAAATGTGACATATGGTTATGAAACATGAAAAAGAAAAATAATTCCTAGTAAGGATAAACCAGATTACCAATTTTTTCAACACAAAACAATAGATAAAAGTTCTGGTTGTAACACAAAAGATATTACTTCAAGAAAACAAGAAGATGATCTCATGACAACTACAATCCAGGTTTTAACCCAAATAAAACTTCATTCACTGAACTACAAATGATTTCAAAATCAAAAGAGCTTGCTTCCATGGGAAAACTCTCATGGCAGTTGCAATGAGCACTCGGCTCCACCACATTGTGTTTCTGAAACCAAGGAAACCCATCTACCAAATTTTCAAATAAAAATCCACTAACTATATTTGGCCGTTCAAGGATTTCACAATAATTGGTTGACTAAAGTTATAAAGCATTAATAAAATTAACTCAACCTGCAAGGACATTCATTCTATTCTATTTCTATAACATTTTATGAGGTCTATCCTAAAATTCATTGTTTATTGACAAAGTGCAAGCATCTGATGATAAAGAATAGAGCATGTAGTTATTTAAGGAAGTTTACTATGTCAGAAATATATACTTACTTGATTTGGTTAGAATTAAATTTCGAAAATTGAATTTTCCTATTTGAGTAGGTTTTATTTTATTAGTTGGAAGTATTTTTCTATTTTATCACGGTACTACTCACCCTTGTTTGGCTTATTGATCAGGTTTAAAGCAAATGCATAACCCATATCCTGCTTTGCCATCTTAAGGAGATTTCAATTAGTTCTCTCAAGACATTCATTAATCAGTTGTAGTTCATGCTTCAACACTACGAAATCTGATTGCATCTTTAAAAGAAATAAGACCAGCTGCTGTGGGTCATATTCATATAAAAGAAAGGAAGTTCGTCTGCCCCAGAAGATTTTTAACACATGATGTTCAGAACAAACTATTAACAAGAGATTAAATTCTGCAATTAAAACCCAAAGGAAGAATTCTAGAGAATCACATGATTCCATCAGCAGCGTTATGATTCTTTACTAGCCTAATATACAACAATTGATACAGTAAAGTGACATAGTTAAATAACCAAAGTTCCAGCCACAAGACTTATTAACTTTACTAAGATAATTAGCGAAGATGATGTAGTAAGATTACGATAGTCAACCATACAAACCAATAAAGCATAAATCTTAGTAGTTTAAATATAAATGAACCAAGACTAACCATTTTTGAAATCACACTTCTATGAGTGTCAACAGACTCATCCACTGGGCTATGAGTTATTGCATCATCAGGAATGGCATCTGCTTCCAAAGGAATTGACTTCGGCGTTTCTTCAATCACATGACCCTCAGCATCATCTTCACCAGAGACATAGTTACTCACTGTATCCACATTATCTTTCTTCACAGCGGTAGAGACTCGCACAATTTCTACACTCTGGCTCTGGCTCTCAGTTTTTTCGCTAATTCTATGAGCTGCATAACTATTTGATGGTTCTTTTTTTAATTCAGACCCGGAAGAAGAAAATTGCGTTGCTATTTCGCCAGAGACACTATCATGCAAAACTTCCAAAGAACTACCAACGTTTTCTACCCCCAATTTGGCATCGACAACAACCGTGCTAACTTGGTTATTATCATTTCTTTCAGAATCACCCTCAAATGCTCCGCTATTTTCTACTTTTACACTATGTTCAGAATTATGCTCAGACACAGTAACTGGACTTGAAATCTCACCATTCGCATTCCTACTAGAATCTCGGTCAGAATGTACATCAACATAGTCAGAAATATCGTTTTCACTATCATTGCGCGTGACTTGATCACGTGTTTCCGGTCGTCTCTTAAAATGATAAACGACATTTTCACTTACAATATCACCATTACAACATTCCTTTTCCAGATTCTCTACTTTACCTGATACTTTTTCTTCATCTTCTTCGTCAGCAGCCTCAGCTGGCGGTTTGTCTACTCGTACATTTCTTTTATGTCCAAACCGAAACAAAACGCTGCCGTCTGAACACTCTGTCCACAATAATATACAGACACATATTTAAAAAAAAAAAAAAAAAAGTTTTAAAGTACAAGAGAAAGCTTCAAATAGGGAATTAAAAAGTTATAATCTGCAATTGAGTAGCAGAGCATACCAGAAGAGGAAACGATATTAAAATCCGGCGAAGAAGAATTGTGATCAGAGCAGGAAATGGATTTAGAACGAAATCTTCGTTTGGGAGTAGAAACGATTACGAGTGGTTTTGGAGAATACATGAACATGTGTTGAGTTATTGGGAGAGCTCGAAAGCAATTGAAATTGATGCTGAGGCTGAGGCTGGTTGAGCGAGCTTCCAGCGAAGCACATAAGAAGAAATCACCACTCATGACCATAACATAGAAGAAGAAGAGAGAGATCAGCTGATAATTATATCAAGTATTCATGTCATTCAATTCAACACAGTTTGGATAATTCCAGTTGTTGGTTTCGTTGTTGTGACTCGAATACTGTATATCATACTATGTACTAGATAATTCTTGGAAGGTCACAAATACTCTTAGGTAGTATGGTTACGAGAATTTTATATTATCGAGGAATATTGTATTATTAGAAAGATAGATTATTAGGAAATCTTTAAAGAAAGGTTCTAAGAATGTTATATTATTAAGGAATATTGTATTACTAGAAAGATAGATTATTAGGAAATCTTTAAAGAAATATGTTTGGTCGGTTAGAATAAATTGATGGATATCTTATAATAATATGTTTGGTTGAGAGGATAAATGAGTGGGTATGTTATATGGATTACTAAATTGCCCTCATTTTAAAATAATAATATTATTTTATTCTATTATTTTTTAAATTATTTTTTAAATTATTTCTTTTAACCCCCCTATATTTGAAATTTTACCAAAATACCCCAACCATATATAACTTTAATTTGTAACAAAATCACCCCCACTCACCCCAAGCCACCCCCGGCAGCCGCCACCACCACCGAAAGCCGCTGTAATGGCGCACGACCAGCCGGATCTGGCTAGTCGTACGCCGATCAAGCCTAATCTGGCTAGATTTGGCCGTGAATATGGTCGTTTCATGGCTAGATCTGGCCGTTAATATGGCCATTTCACGGCCAAAGATGTGAATGTGAAAAGACCAGATCTTTGGCCGTGAAACGGCGACTGTTTCACGGCTAGATCTATGGCGTTTCACGGCCACATCTTTGACCGTGAAACGACCAGATCTGGTCGTTTCCGGCCATGGAGCATAAATCCATGGTCAAAAATTTCCTTATCAGCACACGACCGGCAAGATCCTGTCGGTCTTGTGCCGATATGACGACTTTCGCCAGTGGCCAGCGGCAGAAGGTGGTCTTGGATGATTGGGGGTATTTTGTTAACTTTTAAACTTTTTTGTGGCGGGAGTGTTTTAGCTAAGTTCTCAAATGTAGGGGGTCTGGGTTAATTGTTATTTGGTAGACATATGAGGGTAAATGTGTCCGGAATGATAAAATATTAAGGGCAAAATAGGGTAAAAATTATGATTACCTCGGTAATCTAACATTAACACCCCCTGGGAAGATAATCTGATTACCCCCAATATTACCAATAGTAACCACTATTTGCAATAAAATATTACTGTAATATTATATTACTTGACAACCAAACGAGAGAATCTTAAAAATTAAACAAAGATTACAGGATTTATCCTATTTCACCTCGAACCAAACGCACCTTTAATACATTTTTGCATTTTTTTTAATTTATAATTTATTAAAAGAATATCTTTAATAAATAAAGTAACTTTTTTTTATAATTTTATTCCTTCTTAATTCAATAAAAAAAAAAAAAAAAATTTCTTGATCACATCTTTCGATAGCTTTCTAAACGACATTTCTGTAAATCTTTTATTTTCTTAGTTCCATGTATCACCAAAGTATTTCAAATTTTGAGACCCCTTTGTTTCACAATTTTTCACTACTCTATTCCCTATTCTATCCAAAACAGCAGTGTTACAGACACCGGAAATGGATACCAAAATTTGCACCGAAACACGTGGCCCTGACTCGGACGTCGTCACGTAGGACACAATAGAAGACTTTTGTAAATGGACGACCATCCAACATTTTTGGACAGCCATCCATATTTCGTGGACGACCATTCATTCAGGAATGGACGATAGTCCATAACAAATATTTAAAAATAAAATGGACCACCGTCCAAATACTAGGGACAAGCGTCCTTTTAATATAAACGGCCGTCCAAATAAGCACACTAGATCGACGTCTGTCCATCTAATGTGGACTAGCATCCATTTAGTGTTAAAATTTTTAAAAAATAAAATAAAATAAAAACATTAGATGGACACCAGTCCCTCTAGTATGAACGGTCGTCCATTTTATAGGGACGGCCGTCCACAATAGATGGACTGCCATCCATAAGAAATCCAAAATTTTGTTTTTAAAATAAAAACAAAAAATTAGATGGACGGCAGTCCATCTAGTGTGGACGGTCGTCCATAAGAAATCCAATTTTTTTTTTTAAAAATAAAAACAAAAAATTAGATGGACAGCCGTCCACATGAGATGGACTGCCGTCCATAGTATGTTAAAAATTTTAAAATTTCAGAAGCTTGACATTTTGTTTAGGGATTTAAAAACTTGCAGAAGAAACGCCGAAGAGCGCCGCCGTTGAAGCCACATTATCTGTCGCCGTTGAAGCCACAGTATCTGCCGCCGTTATTCACTTCTTCATCATCATTGTCTGGACTCCGACTGTGAGTATTTTCTTGTTTAAGATGATTTGAGAATTTTTTTACTTAATTTCTGATTCAATGAGGAAGAATTGAACAATTGCTCTATAATGATAAAATGTTCTGACATTGTGTTCACCGTGGTGCTTTATTGAGCCTATCACCTGAAAACTTGGCAATCTGTTACTTATGTTGATGCATTGTTGGGTATTTGTCTCGGTATTCTATTGTTTCACATAAAATGGGTGCTTCAGTAAGTGCTTTAGTGGCTGGTTGTTGTTGGTTTTTGTATGGTTCAGACAGTCTACCAGCCTTAATCATTTCATCCTAAAATGCAGAATACTTTCAGCCCTTCAGTACATGGCCGCTTCAGTTCAAATTTGAAGTTAGTATAACAAATTAGCAGTATATTTTTGTTTGTGCCGGCACCAACTTCACCCAAAACAGTGCACTAGATTATGGCTGTTAAATAAGCTAAAACTGAATCTGTTTTGAGCTTTTGAGCTCGTCCTTTTTCATTTAAAGCTTTTGAGCTTGTTGACAGCATCTGATGATCAAAATTATAGATGGCTTGATTATGCATCTCCTAGACTTCAGTTGATCATAGTTTTGATCTTTGTCCTCACTCTAGGCTTTCATTCTGTGCTCAAACATTTAGGCCTGCCAATCATGACTTCCCAGATCATTGTATGTTAAAATCTCAAGAATTTCATAAAATTATTTATTATTATTCTTTATTTGAGGTACGAATTTTCATTTCTTTATTTGTATCTTTTGCTAAACTAGGCTGGTGTATTGTTATCTTAAGCAGTGCTTCCAAAACAATGGTTGGATATTCTGATGTCAGAAGATAATGTTCAATTGCTTGGCACCTTAGGGGAGTTTGGCTATTCAATTTTTGTCTTTCTGAGTGGGGTGAAAATGGACATGAGCGTGGTAAGCAGAGTGGGAGCAAAGGCTTGTTATCTAGCTTTTATATCCATCTAGTGCCGATGATATATGTCGTGTCAAGCATAGTAATGTTGACCAACAACTGGAAAGAATTAAACAGCATCATGCATATTGCACCATTGTTTTATATGACATGCTTTCCAGTCATTCATTGCCTTCTCAGAGAATCTAAATCATTTCATCCTAAAAAGCAGAATACTTTCATCCTAAAACCATAAGGGTGTTTTATGAAGGCAGATTTATGTTTGGCAGAGTTGGTGATGTTGTTGTGCATGATTGGGACAGGGGGCTTATTGTGGGTTGTTGTGCATGTTTTGGTCTGATTTTCTTGTGATTGTTTTGTTAGTTATTTTTCTATTTTTCATTTTATTATTTGGAAAAACAGGAAATATATCACACTATGTTTTCTGGAAACAACTTGTGTGCATTGTTTCAATACAGAGATGAGGATTCCAACAAGTAGCTCTCATATACAAAGCCATGAGGGAATGGCTATCAAATTTTGTACATTTATAATGAAAAACATATATGCTGTCATAAGAAAGTTTGTATAACACCTCAATGTCTTATTCATGTTTTAGGTAAATCAATATATATTCCCTTTTGAGTGTTTGTAGGAGTTTTGACATGGGTGATCATGAGTGTTGTGTATGCCAAATTTTTGATAGAAGTGCCCTACAACTCATAAATTATACAACTTCTGCTGTTCGCTCATTACAGGTTGGGAATAAAGAAGACGTGTGAAATAAATAACAAGAAGTTGTTTGTGTCTGTTGTCATTATAACATGAAGTTGTTTGTCTTTTTTTAATATCTGCAGAATTACTTATGGATATGTTTTTTTTCAGGAAGTTGTTGGTTTAGAAGAGAGCAGAAAATGGTAAGAGGAAAAAACACAACAATTCCTCATGGAGGCACATTGTCATCTGGAGTCCAATTTCGAGAACATAAAAAGCAATACAAAGAGATGGTGAAAAGAGATATTTGTCTTGGAAGAAGTTTGGATTTAGGATTTATAACAAGTTTGGGTTTAGGTGATGAGATTAATGGTTGGATCCGTAATTTGAAATGGGACCAGTTGGTGAGTAGTAGATATAACGGATATAAGCATTTGATTTATGAGTTTTTTAGTAGTTTGGAAGTTGTGGAGATAGGTACTGATGATTTTCCGGCATATATAATGTTTTTTAGATTAAAGAATCAAAATTGTGTAGTGAGGCCACAGGACTTAACAATCTGGATAGGGATTGATTTTGAAGGTTTGTATAACGTATCCAAAACGTGGGATTCCAAACAAGCTTGGACGGATGTTTCTGGAATAGGGGTTTATCATCCACATAGGTGTAAATCTACAAAGTTAAAGAATTCTGCCATGAGAGTTTTTCACAGATTTCTTACATTCACATTTAATGGCAGGAAAGAGATAAATGGAAATGTGACAATCAAGGATTTATTGTTGATGGAAGTAGCAATTACAGGGAAGCAAGTAAATTTAGCAAAGTTATTGATTAAGAAGTTATGAGAGATTAAAGCAGAAAAATGAGACATTTATTGGGGGATGCTTGTTACGCTAATATGTGAGAAGTTGGGTTTTGAGATCACCCCTTCAGATGAAGCCAATAAAATAACATTTTCTACAAATAATTTGTTGGGGAATGTCACATTGTCTAAAATGGGTTTGATTAAAAAGAATGTGTCAGGAGAATGGTTGCTGATTAGGGATGAAATGGAGGAAGAGGCAACGGTTCAGGAAGGTGTCCCTGTTGCAGAAGGGGAAAATGAAGGATGAGTCTATGTGCGCAA